GCTGGGAACGGGCCCGGCTGCCTCGGGAACGCCGGAGTGCTGCTCCCGCCTCTGCGCTGCGGCCTTGCCGAGGGGCTGCAGGAGGCTGGAGCGCCCCAGCCTGTTGTAGGTGACCGGAAGGGACACAGGAGCTCGGTACAGGGAGAGCGCGCCGTGGTCAGAGCCCGGGCGTCGCTGACACGGCCCCTGTGGAGAGCAAGGGCAGAGGAGCTCGCAGGTTTAGTTTCAGTGACAGCTCCAGCAGCACAGAATTATTAATCAGGAATTCGCTGTCTCTCAACACCTATCCTTCAGAGGTGGGGTCTCCTCTGAAGTACTGAATCCAGCTCGGGGGTCCCTAGCACAAGGTGGACGTTGACCTGCTGGAGTGATTCCAAGGCCACCAAGTTGCTTAGAGGCACGTCTCCTGTGAGGAAAGGCCGAGAGAATTGGGGCTGCTCAGCCTGGAGAAAAGACTTCGAGGTGATCCAATTGCAGCCTTCCAGTACCTGCAGAGAGCCTATAAGAAAGATGGAGAGGGACTTTTTCCAAGAGCATATAGTGACAGGACAAGACAGGAAACCTTTAAACTGAAAGGGGGTAGGTTTAGATTAAATGCTAGGAAAGAAGCGAGGGTGGTGAGACACTGGAATGGGTTGGAGAAGTTGATGTCCCATCCCTGAAGATGTTCAAGACCAGGTTGGATGGAGCTCTGTGATACTTGGTTTAGTGGAATGTGTCTCTCTGCTCATGGCAGGAGGCTTGGGACTAGATGATTTTTAAGGTCCATTCCAACCCAGGCAATTCTATAATACATATTTTAATATATTACATCCCAAAAGATAATTAAAAGCCTAGGCTATGTAATTCTGCAACCATCGTATCATAGTTGTGAATATTTCTTCAGAAATAGGACATTGAAATATAGGTGTAAGGTGAGAGATTGCAAATTGTTAATTAATATTTTTTGTCTGCTGGCATAGTGCTTGTCCATGTCAAATACCTACCTGAGTTAAGCTGTATATAAAACTAAATCAAATGCCTTTGATCTCAGCTCACCCAAAATGCCCTCAGATGGAAGAAAAAATTTTGCAGAAATAACAATGCACTTTTGAGGTGATGCTGCTCAGCTGTGTAGAGGGACTGGCAATGGCTCCAGCTCAAGGACTGACATGTCACCCTCTGCAGCCCACCACTCCAGCCTCCTTCTCTTTCCAGTTCCACCCACAGCACCAGCCCTTTCTTTTCCTCCTTGTAAAGTTGTTGCCTGTGACTTTTTATTAGCCATTTAGCCCTGCTCAGCTGTACAGCATGAAGAATGCATATTTTTCCTTCTGCTTAGTGTTGGTTTTATCAGTAAAATTTGGCTGGTGCTTGGTGTTCAAAGGGGTGAAGAGATGATGGGAGGGGGTGTAGCCCAGGCCAGCTGTGTGTATACTGACTGCTCATTTAAGCAAAGGTAAGAAAGGCAGCCTGTCTGCAAAAAATAAAATATTACAGGCTATATCACAAGGTTTGCATGTGAACATGTGTACACAATGCTTTCACAGGATTCTGTAAACTTTGTCCTTTAGTGGCTGATTCAATCCTCTGTAATGACAAAGTTGCCCCACTATGAACTTGCCTGACTTTTCTTTCTTTTCAGAGAATAGTAACAACAGAAACTAAAACAAAAGGCAGAAGAAAATATACTCCAGAGTGTGTTAAAAGAATCTTTCTTGGAAAATGAAAAGCCATGGTACCACTGGGATCGGCCATTCTTGGAAAATCAAAAGCTGTTGTACCACTGGGATCGGCCCTTCAAAACCTCTGAAATTTTGCCACAGCCTCCACATCTGCTGCAGAAATTCATTTGATACAGTGTTGCATTCCCTTTATGGTTAATTCACACTTATCCGGTGGGTGACCTCTGCGGCTCACAGACAGATAGGGCAGTAAGTGTGAAGTCACCTGAATCCTGGAGCAGGAGAGCTATGTTTGTTTCATCTGGATTCCCTAGTTCAGAGAGGTGCCATATGAAGCATCAGCTTTTATCTCTCCCTGCCTGATCTGATCTTGTTGGTTGCTGTAAAATAAGTGCTGCCTTGTTTAAGTTTTTGGTTGGCCACGGTACTCTATTCATAGCCCTGGGTAATGGAAGCCTAAGTAAACCACAGACACCAGGCACCCATGGAAACACCTGGTGATAATCCTTATCGCATTGCTGCTATGCTTCCTAATTTACTGCTTGTCTCAGAGATATTATTTCTCTGCTCTGTGCAAATCTTCTTCAATAAGTATATCTTCTTCTTTCTAGACATTTGTTTACAAGATATGCATGTATTAATGAATACAAATTGCTTCCTAAATTTTTAACTACCTTAGGACACTTCATAATCTGATGGAGTCCAGACTGTCTTTGATAAGCGTACAAATTCCTAGAAACTTGCTGGTCCATGTTTTAATAATGAATACCATCATGTGACTTGACAAACATCTACTTTTTGAATAAAATTATTCTACTTTACATATACAGATTCAGGAGACCCCAGTGATACCATGGCTTTTCATTTTCCAATAAGGATTCTTCTAACACGGTCACTGTTCCTGCTACGTGATACAACCCCAGGAACACTCCTAGAAAACTAGGGAATTGGAAGGTATTCAATCAACATATCAGTTTATTGCTAAAGCAGTATCATATTGCAGTGGAGAGAATATGAAAACCAATATACCAATAGACCACAGTCTTTTAATAACTACTGAGTGTTTTAAAACACAACAATGTGCAAAATCTTTGTGCAAATTGAGTGCCAGGTTTCACTTTTGGACATTGAATGTTACTATTTTGATAGATTTTAAAAGATTCGGTCCAGTAAATACAAAACTGACATATGTGCACCAGAACAGCAAATTCTAAAAATGCACATGTTGCACAAAGAACACAGAATATTTATTCTTCAAGTATACTGTGTTTTGTATGTTGTCTGATAGCTATATGGTTAGGAATACTCAAAGAATTACTTTGTAGTTACATTCTCACAGGATGTCCTTTTGTTTTTCAGAGGAATATTCCCCAGTGTTTCTCTTTTCATTCAGGTGCCTTGAGCACGATCACAGGAAGACATAATTTCCCCATTACCATACAGGAATATGTATCAACATAAGATCCATGCCATGCTTTTACACTAACAATTGTTCAGTAATTTATTTCTCTCTTGTTTCTCTCTTTCCAGTGGAAATACGTGATCCAAACCTGAGCAAACTGACTGCAGACATTTTTGTTTACCTTATAGGCTTTGATTCAGAATCTCTGATACAAGAGAATCCGCCATGCAGGATGGGGGTGTAATTCCATCAAGGACTTCTGGTGACCTCATAAACCATGAGAGCTGGCATGGACTTTAATGGGCACCACGTGCTTAAGTTGCCATGCATCATTTTGAAAATGTAGGGCTTCATTTGATACTGCAGAAGGATACCAGACCTACCATGTCAAATTGTTTCTCTTTCTTCTGAAGGAGCCACCCGCTTTAAGTTACAGTCAGTCCTCTTTGGTAGCAAATGAAATATACCATTCTGGAAAATTAGTATTTTCTCTGGCAAAATGAACTTGAAAAGTGTGTTTCATAGAAAAGCACATATTTGGGTTATATTCTTTTAAATAAACTTTCTAAAATGATGGCCGTAAATTCAAGTAAAGGTGCGGTTTGTGCAGGATTGGCTTTGCTTGCAGATTTCTAAGTAAGAGACATTTAAAAAAATTAATTCATACATCAGTTAGAAAATATAGGAATAGAATTGTTATGGGTCAGTTGAAAAAATGTAGACCATGTTAAACCCAGTTTAAGTCAAGCTAGGTAAGTTTGCTCAAATTGCTGATGGCGAATAACCTGAGTTAAAATTTACTTGAACTAAAGTAATTTAACTGTATTTAGTACACCAATTCTAGGATTCTGTTATTAGGAATTTCCAGGGAGTTTCAATCAGTGAAATTTATTCTATCACCTTTGTACAATGCTTGGAGATTTTCTCCCACCTTCTCTCAACTTAGATTTTGCCTGCTGAAACCAATGTTCAGCCATTGTGCAAGCCTATACAAAGTTGATGGTTATCAGCCTAAAATGAGGTCTGTCAGTGTGGCTATGATTCAGGTAAATGTGGCAATAGATGCATGACCTAAGTGTGTCAGCTTAGCTAATCTATTGTATATGATATCTGTCTTTAACAAGGAGATGCTCTAAAAATTGCTCATCATGATGAGTGCATACCAGGAAAGGCTCTGTCCTTCTTAATTCTGAGATTACAGGTCAGTGAACTGCCTAGTCTCTATTTTTTTCTCAACATTCTAACTAATTTTATTCCTATTTATTGGTTCATAAATAACAAAATCATTGTGGCATGGCTAGATGATGTTCCTGTATTATATACATACTGGGATGTGTTATTTTTTATTTAGCTCTAAGTAATACATTATAGGGAAAAAGGATACCTTCTAGAAAATATCCAAAAACTACTTGCTCTGGCCTTTCTGCCACCTTAGTGTGAAATACCTGCTGTTTGTCATTCTCTGGGATAACTGCTGAACTACATGCATCACTGCTCCTTATGCTGTGTTGCAGTGAGTAGTACATTTTTTCACCATGTGCATGGCTTATCCATATAGGGCATGATGAGTACACACCTTTTATATATTCCATGTCTTAGACCCAGGTAGAATAATTACATTTCTTAAATTTAGTTTAAATCTCTTCTTAAAGAACTGCAAATGTGGATGTACAGGAGAAGGTTGGCTCTCTGGTCTTGGTACCATAGTACAATATATGTAGATTTGATACAAGAAGTTCCCTTTGACACTCAGAATTATTCCAGTTGTAATCTCATAGCTGAGATAGTTAATAAATTACAAGCATATGGAAGACTGTAACAGCCTTGGGATGCAAGTTGTACTGTTAGGTTAGATAGTTTGTACAGGAGGAGGATCCCTAAGGCTTGTTGAATAAATAGATGCATCTTCTCAGTACTCCATGAAAAATGATGTATGTTTTTGGTTTGTTTGTACTACTTTCTCCACATGAAACGTGTGTTTGGTCCAACAATTCTGTGGTTTCCTCACTTTGTGATAATAATTAACACCCTCACTGAAGTCTAAGCAGTGATGACATTTGTTTAGGGGCCTGACTCTGATTTTTGTTGCTGCTTTGCCTTATGTTACTTTCAATATGCAATTGAAACCATTTTTGAGAACTGAAAGGTTCAGAGACTGTTGTTTTCTTGGTCTTACTGACCATTTAGAAACTCTTTCATGCAATATATCCTTCAGCATTTTTGGAAACGCAGCCTCTCCAGCCATATGGGTCTGGGTTGATAGTGGCAAGCTCAAACTAAAGCCAGCAATGCAGGGGTTGAAAGTTTTGGGGTTTGGGGTTTTTGGGGGGCATTTTTGCCTTTTTTTTTTTTTTTTTTTTTTCCTGAAGAAATAGAGAAATGGATATAAGCAGTAAGAAAGTAAAACAGTCATACAGTAACTATTGTTTAGGAGGTAAATGTGTTAGGAGACAAAAAAAGAAAGAATATATTAAACCTTACTTAAAAGATTCCTGAAGCTTTGGGGAAAATTAATTTTAAGAAATATGACAATGGTTCTCTACCCAATAATCTTATAAAAAAGATTAATAGCTTTGGAGTAGATGTACATATTTTGAACTTCCTTTCTGGACAGAGCACAAAGAAAACCTGGCTTGTTTGTGGTTGTAGAAAAGTCATAGGTGGCTTTGTATAAGAAAGGCAGGTAGCTGCCAGGGACATCCAAACCTCCTTCCCTTTCTCTGTTCTTTTTTTCCATAATAAATTTTTAAAATATGTTGTCATTTTTTTCCTGATTTTCTTAAATAGAGTGAAATGTCTAATCAGCAGAGAATCGAAATGTATTTATAAAAAAAACAACCAAAAGGGCATCTGATGTTTTACAGACATTCCAACACCTTCAGGAAATTTGAACTCACACCAAAGGGTCTGATATTCATTTGAATCTCCATCTGTGCTGAAGCACATGTGTGCACACAACACACATTGAACCACTACAGTGGAAAAAAAAAATCCCTGCTCTTAAATTATAGCAGCTCTCTACAATTCTTCTTTAACCACAAAGGCTTTGGTAGTTTTGAGACATTGCAGTGGCTTTGGGTGATCTGATCACAGAGCTTAGTTTTGTTAAATCCCTTTGCTGAAAGATATGGAAAAGCTGTAGGAGAAACACGGGGAGCTGCAAGTTCACAGCATGAGGGTTTGGAGTAAAGGGGAAGGGTTCAAGAAGCTGTTGTGGCAGCAGACACCCTACAGCCAGAGTTAACGCTGGAAACACTGCAGTTTTAGTTCCCTCACCAGAAATCCCCATGCTCGCAGGAACGGATATAGTCATTAGTCCTCAATGGGAATATGACCTTTCCCTTTAAGTATCTGTGTGATGCTTTTGATCCTTTTGACTCTCTCTAAGGGATAGATTAAATATGTGGCACAATGTCTACTCCTGAGTGAGGATTAAGCCTGGCTTTTGGAAGCAGAACTATATTGCCTAACCCATCACCATTTATCACATTCTCTGGGGACCTGTTCTCCATTTTTCTTCCCCTCCCCCTAAACTTTTAGAAAATTCCCCTTCTCTGGGGTTTAATATTGATCTCAGCTGCGTCAGCCTTGGCTTTGCTGTAGTTACTTCTGATTTTACACTGAAACAGGTCCTATGTCTCAGATATCTTGTTAAACAAAGTGCTATTCTGAGGCTCAGCTCTTATGCAACCTGCACTTTCTTTAATGTATTTTTGTGTTTGAATTTTAATAACAAATACCTTAACATGATTTATAGTTTTGTATCACCCTGTATTTCAGTGGAATTCCCCGAGGATAACCCTTACCTTTTCATACTTGTATTCTGATTTAATGATGCAGTGAAACATATGATTACCTTCAGGACCTGTGTAAATCCCATTAACTTCAATTAAGCCCAAGAACATGCTTTAGTGCTTCACTAACCAGGGATGCTTAAGGCTAACCTCCATATAAATGTTTTGCTGAATCAAGTTTTAGTGTTTTATTAATTTTTATTCCTGTTTCTCTTTTACTCTGTCTCATGATATAATAATTTTACTCTTGTAATATCCCTGCATGCTGCTTCCAAGTTAGAAGTTATACTGAAACTGAAGGTCTCATTCAGGAGAGGATAAAATTAATCCGTTCTGCAGCTGTGAAGCAGAGAAGTCCCAGCAAGCTTCCCAGTAAAATGAAAAAGTGATGGTATGCCACTCTGGCTCATAAAAATGTAATTTAAGCATTGCCCTCTCAATAAAAATATCACATTTAGGACACAGTAATCCCCTTCTGAACCTTATCTTACTTTTCAACAGCTCTTTGGACTCTTAGAATTGATGCACTTTGAATTTCCTGTTGGTCAGGTAGCATGACTTTCTTCAGCTCCCTCCCACAGCCACAGCTTTGCGCGTCATTCTAAGCAGGCAATATCCAGTCACAGGCAGAAAATGGAATCGGTGGTCTAAAATTCAGTAAATTCAGGAGCTTTAAGGTACTTAGTTGACAGACTAAGTTGACTTTGGAACTACTACTGCTCAGAGCTGTGGCCTTTGCAGTATTGCACCAAAGTGACTGAAACTTCAAAAATGCTTTTCAATTGTTTTCTCAAGACTCCTGCCAGAATCTTTACCTTCTTTTAATGCTTTTTTATTTTAATGAGCACCTGATTTATGACAAGAAATCACCAGACACCTAGGTTCTTTGGGCTTATTAAAGCAGACAAATACTTCGGTGTTAGAAAATCATCGTAAGAACATATATTTTTTTCCATATTAGATTGAATCATTGTAGGCAAGTGCCCCAATCCTCCTCGCAGCTATGGTCTGGAGGTATTTCAGCACAAGGAAAAAAATAACCCTTTCCAGTTTCTGGCTCAATAAAGCAAATGTTTTCACTGGGGGAAGAAGGTTGATTCCTTTCCTGTCCCCACAGTATTCTGCATTTTACCTATATCAAAAGATTTGCTTGCTCTGCCTTAGCATGTACAATGTAGTTTATCTTCCAAATAGAAGTCATCTTTCCAGCTTCCATGTCTGAGTTGCACTGGTGATTTATATGCTCACTGTCTGTTTTCACAATGTCTTTCCTGGCTGTCTTGTATCTCTCCCCTGTGGAGCACTGGGCCTTAGAATCATTGCAGTAAGGACAGGCAATCAGTCTTCTTTAGATACATATTGGATTTTACTGGTGCCTGAGTCTATAGAACGTGCCAATGTCTTTTGTGGTTCTGGAAGGGAAACCTCAGAAAAGTGTGGAGTTTTGGTTTGGATAAAGAGCTGGTTGGTTCTTTTTTAAATGGAATGTTCTTTTCTTATTGTTCTTTTCATCAGATAATCCTGGGAATAGATGAGCAAGTTTCAGGAGTTTTGGAGCTGCAGGGTGGTTTTTCTGCTCAAAATCACAGAGCTGTATGTTAGCTTTGGACTCTTTGGAAGCAGCCTCATTGCAAAACACAGCTCTGCTTCATTCAGATAAGGGATTTAAGAGTATAGGGATGGCCACATCAGGCAGCCCAAAGGCTTCTCCAGCCCTGCAGCCTGTCTCACAATAGCCAGTGGTGTGTGTCTGCCAAACATATACTGAAATTTTCTGTGCCTGTGCAAATTGGAGTCAGTCATGTGGCATGTCTGTAATTAATAGTCCTTGATTTTTTTCTCCCCATGAATATTTCTGGCCACTTGACGCACAATATGAAATTGTAGCACCTGCAACATCCTGTAAAAATGATTCACGGTGCTTGAGTGTACCTTGTGTGAAGTGTCTTGAATGATGGATCTCTACTTTGGTCTTGCCAGTTACTATTTTATTTGATAATCTCTAGTTCTTATATGGGAGGAATCCATGAACTGTTATTTCTATTCACTTTCTTCTTACCATTCAGAGTTTTATTAGGCCTATATTACTGCTTCTCCAACCAGAACAGTCCTGATCTGCTCAACCTTCTTCATACAGAAACTATTTCACACCTTTCTCCTTCGATGAAGTTTATCTGAAACAATTCCAGCATAGTCTCCTGTCTGTATCATATCAAATGTGCATGGTCTAGCCTCAGGCTACTGAGGGAATTTTTTGGTAAATAAAGACGTAAATGTTATCTGAAGCAAGATTTTCTTTGTGGTTTTCGTAAAGTTGAATGCTTCACTCACAAAAGATGTGGATAGTCTTTTCCTTTCAGTTTTTCAACAGATACTTTTTTTAAAACAAAAATACTATTATTTAATACCCAAAGAAAAGATATAAGGGTCTGAGATCACCACTATAGTCAAAAGCATTTGGCTTGGAAATAAAAATCTTTGGACTGTCTGACCTGCCTGAATTACCAGATTGTTTCTTTCAGTCTGAAACAAGGCTTTCTTTTGATTTTCTCTCTAAAAGGCCCTTACTTCATCCCACCATAGCATGAGAGGTGAAGAGGATAAGTTGAGAAATATAATGGCAAAACCTCCATCTCTAACCTCTGCAGTGACAAGTGAGACACAATTACAGAAATTTTATATTTGGTCTGAAAAAGCTGTCTTCAATTCACTTGCCTAAACATGGATGGTAGGCACCTTTAAGACAAAGCAGGCTACCTGGCACACCAGATAATCTCTTCACACATAAGGAGAAGCTGTGTCTTTCTGGAGTGATAGGTAGCAAGCTGACTAGTTATCTTCAGGATTTAGAAAAACCACAAAACACGTTTGGCACTCCACATCTTGTTTCTTTCATACTGGTTTTCTCTGTCTGTGCCCTGCATATTTGTTTTAATTTACAGATTTAGTACAGGTCAGGTACAGCACCCATTTGGGTACGGTTCTGCTCATTTGTAAAGAACGTGCACAAAATCCCATTCCTTAAAAAAACTCGAAACAACAGATAGTGATTGTAACTTACCTGCATTCAGCACTCAGGTTGATGTTCCACATTTCTTTGGAAGCCTACATTCTTGTTACTGTTTCCTCTATT